GTGGCTAGATTATGTCTTGAGATGTTTTCCGCATTTAAAATTATTTAACACAAACAAAAAAGACGGCATTTTAATATTGTACTTTAAAAATACAACAAATAAGTAGTTTTTATTTTGAATAGAAGTAAATGCAGGAGGAACAATCTTGTCAGAGCCAAGATTGAGTTTTTTAAAAATCACCAGTGAAACTTGCTAACAGTTGGCTTTGAAAAGAGAACAGTAATACACTTTTGCCATTTTGTTTACAGTCCCTGTCCATACAATTTTCACATATATATGATAATATGTTTCTTCCAGAATTTTTCTATCATCGTATGCTCAATGCCTACACACCACAGGCACATAAAATATGTTGAATGAATGAAACTGGCTTAAAGGAAAACTGAAGAAACTTGTACTCTCCTAGAGGATTAAAAGTGAATCACATGATATGATTAACGTTTTTAATTTTAAAAACGCATACAGTACATCCTATGGGTCTGATACTATTCTAAATGCTTAACACAGAATCATCCTAATAACGATATTGATTATCATCCTCCCCTTTTTTTTTCTTTTATTTTTTAATTGTAGAGATGGGATCTCTCTATTTTGCTCAGGCTGGTCCTGAACTCCTGGACTCATGCAATCCTCCCACCTTGGCCTCCTAAAGTGTTGGGATTACAGGTGTGAGCCATCATGCCCAGCTGATCATCCCCATCTTCTAGATGAAAACCTAAAGTACAGAGAGGTTATATAACCCACCCAAGGATCTGCAAGTATTGAAGTGCTAAAGTCAGAATTTGAAGATCTGTTCTGGCTTCAGAGCTGACTCCTGACCTCTACACTCTGCCACCCCCCTACCAAGGCAGCTCCTTAAATGATTCTACCTAATGTCATACCCAGGCAGTTCTCAAGACAGGAGAAGGTAGAAGTAGTGGGAGCCCTGCAAAAACGGAGAGAACTGTGACTGCTCTGCAGTGTTTTGGGGAATTGTGTTTATCCACCAGTTTCTCTCACTAGACCGCCAATTTCACACTCTGACAACTGTCCAATTATTCATGTTCACGTGGAGCTAAGTGGGTTCTTCTCCAGCTGCACACCTTTCTTTCTCAACATAATTAATGAGGCTCATCAAAAACCTAGAAAACAAGCCTGGCGCACCAGCCACTCTTACTGACATGTTAATAGGGGGTCAGGTGCTCCTGACCTCACCACAGGATGTTTATATGGCCCCAGGGCTGCTCACAAATGTTATATGTTGACTATAGGGTGTCATGAACAAGGGCCTTCCTTTCCCAATAAAGCAGATGCACTGCACACAAATGGCCATGGAAATCTCTCAAGACAGTGAGCCACATAGATCAGGTAAAGTCTCACAGCATGGGCACAAAGCTGTCTGGGTTGGCTTATCCCAGGCAGAGGGCTCCCTGGCCAGGCGGAGGGCACTGGGAAGCACTAATTCATTCCATTCAGTGAAGGATTACATAGTTTTTAAAAGGCAGCGTAAAGAAGAGGCTCACAAACAGAAAATAAATCATCTCTGGTTTTGCCTGTTACTTTTCTGACCACAGAGCTGATTTTTGTTGTTGTTTTAACTCGCGCTGTTGAACACAGTAGCTCCTAGCCACATGTGGCTGTTAAGCACTTGAAATGTGGCTGGTCCAGACAGGGCTGTGCTGTAAGCATAAAAGGCACACAAGATTTCAAACACTTGGTATGAAAAAAAGTATGTAAAATATGCCATTAGTAATCTTTATATTGATGACATGTTAACATAATCATATTTTAAATATATTGGGTTAAATACAAATATATTAAGATTAATATTACCAGCTGCTTTTTACCTTGTGTACCATGGCCAATAGAAATTTAAAAGTCAGCTGGGGGCGGTGGCTCACGCCTGTAATCCCAGCACTTTGGGAGCATGAGATGGGTGAATCACGAGGTCAGGAGATCGAGACCGTCCTGGCCAACATGGCAAAACGCCGCCTCTACTAAAAATAAAAAAAGTAGCTAGGTATGGTGGTGCATGTTTGTAATCCCAGCTACTCGGAAGGCTGAGGCAGGAGAATCACTTGAACTTGGGAGTCGGAGGTTGCAGTGAGCCGAGATCGTACCATTGCACTCCAGTCTGGGCAACAGAGCCAGACTCTGTCTCAAAAAAAAAAAAAAAAAGAAAAAAAGAAAAGAAAAGAAATTTAAATATCACATGGTTTGCGTTTTGCACTGGTGGTTTGCATTCTACTTTGATTGGACAGTGCTGCTCTAGGGTTTGGAAACTCTAAACCTTTTGCTTCTTTGAGAGGCATGCAAGGGGCAAGTGTCTTTCCAAGTCTTGTCTCTGGGCTTTCTCTGCCACGCTAATGAAACTTACTAATGGGTGATACTGAAACTAGCATTCTCCGCCAGGAAGGCTGCAATACACTCAGACTCAAATCGTCTCATATTCCAGGGCCTTCAATAATCCTATTCGCAGGCTTTATAGTACAGGCTCTGCCTGGCCCCAGCAACAGCACACAGTGGCTCTCTGTGGCATATGTAACTCATTCTTATTACGCTGATCTAAATGCTGGCTCTCGTGTATAGTGGCTTTTAGGGAATGATCATGTGGACCCAGGCTGCCACTGATGGCTGTGCACTTTGTGCATGGCACAACAGTGTCCCGCAGAGGGTACACAAGGGGTTGCCATCACACCAGGGGTGCCTGTGAGCTGGGGCTGCAGTTCACCTACTCAGAGGCGTTGCCTGAAGTGGACTGCACTCTACACCCAAGGCAATCTCTTTTCTTGTACCCCTGACTAACTTCCACATGGCATTGAAAGTGCTCCTGGCCTAGCAAGCCCATTAAAACATCCTTTGTATGAATTGGCCAGAGCCCAGTGCAGAAAAGCAGCCCAAATAAACTCCCAAACAGCTCAGATGTAAGAAGAGCAATTAGAGAATGCAGGTATGTTTATAAAACCTCCTCTAGGAAATCATGATATTAATAAACAGGAGTTATTAGTTTGGATATAATTTGGGGTCACTATTTACCACTTACTAAATAAAAACGTATAGGTAAATTGCATAATCTCATGTATCATGTTAACTAATCATGACAATGAATTGGAAATCTAACTAACATGAAAGATATTTTGATTTTCTATGTGCTAGATCAGCTGCAAACCATTTGCTATCATAAAGAGGATGAATTCTATAGAATCCTGCCCAGTAACCAAAATATAATAGAGTATCTTTGCATAGGAAAGCAGTGTTTTTTCCCCCAAAGAGTATTATAGCCTCTACAAGAGCCCAGAGTTGTATGAATAGTTAATGAACGATGACATAATATACTTTAAAGCTTGGAACTCTAAAGCGTGCTCCATAAGACTATCTTTAGAAAGGGCTCTCTTCGGCCAACAAACCTATGAAAAAATGCTCATCGTCACTGGTCATCAGAGAAATGCAAATCAAAACTACATTGAGATACCATCTCACGCCAGTTAGAATGATGATCATTAAAAAAATCTAGAGACAACAGATGCTGGAGAGGATGTGGAGAAATAGGAACACTTTTACACTGTTGGTGGGAGTGTAAATTAGTTCAACCATTGTGGAAGACAGTGTGGCCATTCCTCAAGGACCTAGAAATAGAAATTCCATTTGACCCAGCAATCCCATTACTGGGTATATATCCAAAGGATTATAAATCGTTCTATTATAAGGACACGTGCACACGAATGTTCATTGCAGCACTGTTTACAATAGCAAAGACCTGGAACCAACCCAAATGCCCATCGACGATAGACTGGACAGGGAAAATGTGGCACATATACACCATGGAATATTATGCAGCCATCAAAAATGATGAGTTTGTGTCCTTTGTAGGGACATGGATGAACCTGGAAACCATCATTCTCAGCAAACTGACACAAGAGCAGAAGACCAAACACCACATGTTCTCACTCATAGGTGGGTGTTGAACAATGAGAACACATGGACACAGGGAAGGGAGCACTACATACTTGGGTCTGTTGGGGGGAAATAGGGGAGGGTCAGTGGGGGGTGGGGAGTTGGGAAGAGATAGCATGGGGAGAAATGACAGGTACAGGTGATGGGGAGGAAGGCAGCAAATCACACTGCCACGCGTGTACTTATGCAACAATCTTGCATGTTCTTCACATGTACCCCAAAACCTAAAATGCAATAAAATAAATTAAAAAAAGGGCTCTCTTCAAATATTTGCTAAGACATGATGAAGTAAATCTTTATAATAAAAATATTAAGTAAAAGGAACATATGATAGTCTGTTATTACTCTAAATAATAAAAACAACCACTTTCATGGTGATATGAATTTACTGAAAAATAAACACCTGTAAAAACAAAAAGTTCAACTATAAAACACAGAATAGCTATTTGTGGCTCAATGTAGCACAAACTTTTTATAAAATAGCCATGAGCTTGCTTCACACCTTTTGCAGAGTGCGGGAAAAGCAGTACCTCCGAAAACAGGAAATATAAATGAGCAGAATAAGATAAATAATAGCAAAGTAAATTACAAGTGTTTAAATTGCTTTTAAACATACTGTAAATAAGATTTGATATTTACATGTATATATGATGTGATTACTATCTTTCAGAAGCTGTTATACCATTCTAATATTTAACCTTATGGTCATAAATATTTGCTTCATTTCCCTTTTATCTTGTCATATATTCAAGCACCAAGTTCTGTTACTTCTTCCTTCTAAATGCCACTGTGCCCATTGTTCCTTAAATTTTAACTCCTGTGTCCAGATAAACGTTCTTACTGTCTCACACTTGAAATAGTAGTAAGTTCTCTAAATGTTCTACCATTCAAATTTCACCTTGCTACTCCCCACCCAAACCCCTCCCCCCTCCAGCCTGGCTATAATCCAAGTTGGTCACTGAAGGAATGCCGCTTTGCCACCAGCAGAATGCCTTTCTACCTACCCTCCATCCCTCCAACTCCTACTCATTCTTGGTCTATCTCAAAACTCAGTTGCCCTTTGGAGGCTGCTCCTGTCTTCTCCAGGCTGCACTGACCCTTGTTCTTCTCCCTGCCCGGGATCCTGAATGTAGAATTTAGTAAGGTAGCACTCTCTACTCACTCCCTGACCAGACTGCACATTGCTGGACACTCTAGATTACACTGTTTGGGTATGTTGCTTTGATCCATAATATCAAGACTTTTAGGAGTGCATATACACCGGGGTGATATGAGTGGCCATTTTACAATTTTCTATACCTGTGTCAGACCCTTAGGCTAGTACGCTCGTGTTGGGAAAAAATAAAGTTGGGCCTGCTCTCTCACCTGTGCGTGCACTGGGCAGGGGCCTAGGGTGTAGCAGAATGCATCTTGAAAGGAAGGGAATCTAAGGCTCTGGAAATGGAATGAAGTTGGGCATCTGGCTGAGGAAACATCTCCGCAGAGCTCAGGAGCACCTGGGAAAGTTGCCTGGATGCCATTCTTGAAGCAACCAAGCATCAGAACATGGAACACAGGGCTGTGGCCTGCCCATGTGCCTGACGGCAGTCTTGCTCTGAGGAGAACAGCCACAAGGCCCTATATAAGCCTTGTGTTGCCTTTATTGTGCATAGTATCCATTCCTTTGCAGTCTGTCTTTCCATAGATCTGAAGGAAAGCAGCCCGGCACTGTAAGGCTGTGCCCTTAAATCATGAGACAGAAAAATGAAAAACAAAACCTCTCTTGGAGACGAAGAAAAATCCCACCCTTTACCACACTGGGAGTGGGCAAGAGGGAGCAGTGGAAGATGAACTACTTCATCCCATTAAGAGAATCAATAGGACAATAAATGCCATATTTAAACATATGCAAATATTTAGCAATGAAATAAACACAGGCTGCTTGAACTGCAGTCTCGGTGTTATCTTACGGACTACTGCTCTATTAGAAAATGGTGGCCAGGTGCAGTGGCTCACACCTGTAATCCCAGCACTCTGGGAGGCTGGGGCAGATGGATTGCCTGAGCTCACAAGTTCACAACCAGCCTGGGCAACACGGTGAAACTCCGTCTCTACTGAAATACAAAAAATTAGCCGGGTGTGGCAGTGCGCGCCTATAGTCCCAGCTACTCGGGAGGCTGAGGCAGGAGAATTGCTTGAATCCAGGAAACGGAGGCTACAGTGAGCTGAGATCAAGCCACTGAACTCCAGCCTGGCAACAGAGCGAGACCTCGTCTCAAAAAACAAAAACAAAAACAAAAACTTTCTTCCAGAATACTATTAGAAACCTCATTCCTTCCCTAAAATGTTTCATTTTCTGCTGCTTTCTCTTAGCCTCATATTTCTAAAACTCTGATCGAATTTCAATTTTGAAAATATGCCAGAAGTATGGAAATAAGGTATTTTACCCATTTATGGTCTGGATTTTGGGGCCCTTCTGCTTGCTGGTTTCCCCTCAGCTGGGAAGGCTTGGATTTAGTCAATGAGGAGTGTTTTGTCCATATTCCACCATTGGGCATGTTCTAAGCGAATCACCCTGTAACAAAGTACCACATTTGACAAGCCCCATGTAAGCACACAGTGCAACTGATTAGCTGAGTGGCCAGGTACTACTAGCTTAGTCAGAGTCATGGAACCTAATTGTTTTAATAGTCCTTGAAGTAAGTCAGTATTGCAAGATTCTGAAAACTCCTCAATAGTTACAGTCACAAAATCTTCTTCCAAAATAGCATGTTGATCATGTTGACACTGTTGTCTTTTTCAATACGTGTATCTGACATATGTAAATTTTGTGTTAACAGAGCACTTTTGGGTTTCTGAAACCCACTCTATTGAAGCCAAAAGTATTAGAAACAATAATGTGAATCCTGCTGTAAAATATAAATTTTAATATTGGACAATTCGATAGTCAACAGAAAGGTGTTGAAAGTCACTGAAGGAACCTCTGGTAGAATGAACACCCACGTTTACCTCAGCTTCCTCCAATGCTCTAGTACAATCACAATAAAGGAATAAAAATGACACAGACATTTAAGAACAAAGAAGATGGGAGATGGCAATAGAACTGAGGGATGTCAACAAAATTTTGGAAGATGAAAATCAGCTGGCTGAGCAGTAAACGACTTAGCAGCTTAGAGAAAGCTGAATCTAATCCTGCAGTAGAAGAAGCCAAAAATCAAGCAAGATGATTCAAGCTAAGCAACGCTAGGAAGACTTAGGAATCAGAGGCACCTTTGAATGCCAGGGTAGGTTGGGGTGCAAAAAGGAAAACTGGCTGCAATCCTGTATAATTAAGAAGTGGACCAAATACCCTTCCCCAGACAAGAAGAAGGAGGGTGGATTACTCTGCAGAGATGAAATCACGAGACTCTGGGATCCTGGATCCCAGGCCTAGCCAGAGTGGGTTGAGGAGCCATAAGAAAACAGGGAGATTAAGTGAAAGTCTACATAGCACTAAGTAAGATGTGTCTCAGCATGACCACCATTTCTTACCTCCCTACCCTTATTCAGCTCCAGAAAGACAGCATTCAAGTTTACAACCCTCAACCATGACATGGAAGGCTTTCCTGTCTAGCTTAAGGGAAAACAATCCGTGAACACTGACCCAGTGAAATGGGCAGGTTCTAAGGAATCACCCTGTAACAAAGCACCACATTTGACAAGCCCCATCTAAGCACACAGAGCAATTAATTAGCTTTATTGTGCCTCT